TTGAACAACACTATAGATTTGTCCAGTAATGAATTGGCATAATCTATTTATAGTGCTGTGCCAACTGTATGTTAACGTTATATGGTCATTCATAACAGAATGTAAATCTGCTAACGAAATTTGAAATGCTGTAATTTTACAGTTTGATATTGGTAGAAAAAAAACCTAATGGTCCTAAACGATAATTGAAGGTAACCAGCGAAACGTTTTTGAATACAATATTTTCAACGGTAACTTCCATATCAATGCCCGTATCACCGGAACCAGCCAAAAATGATCCACCGTGTATCCATACCAAGACTGGATAAAGTTTACCCTCATCTTCTGGATCCTAAACAGTATCAACATGCCGCTGATGTACAGCTGTTTAGTTCGTCGCTGTCTAAGACTGTATCTAAGCGCACAGAAGAATTAATTAATAAATAATTATTGAAAGACAAAAAAAAGAAAAAGCTATTAACACAGTGAAAGCTTAAGTAATTTTGAAAACAAAAGCAAAAAAGAAGACAACAGTCAACAAAAAAAAAAAGAAAAAGAAAAAGGAGAAACAGCAACAGTCTACTGAAAGGCTGAATAGACAAAAGCGCAGAAAAACTACAGACGGCATATATAAATGAAAACAAATACAATAAAAAAAATCAACTTTTTTCTTACCTATTTGTTGATTAATTTATTTGCCAAGTAAAACAAAAGCAACATTATCAAAAGAAAGCTGCTGGCTAACACCTGAGAACGTTGGTCTTCAAAATCATCTTATTTAATTTTTTCCTAATGCACCCTGCTGTTACACACTTTTTTTTCATCTCTTCCGTCGCTGTTTAATGCTTTGCAACAGAGGGCACTAAAAGCACTTACATATGGTGAAAAAACGTTCAAGAATAAACAGTTTTCGCTTTGGTTTTCCATGCTCGCTTTCGAGTATCTGTCGTTGATATAGTAATCGCTAAACTGAAGACACGCAGCCCCATAGTCATTCGCAAAGTGTTCGTAATGCCAACGAGATTTTTTTACAGATTTCTAAAACATAACCAAGTAACAGCATTACTGAAGAACAACGTTTTGTTGAATTTATAAAAAATTCCTTTTCTTTCTTTTTTTTCAACTGAAAACTCGAAGAAAACTGAAGAATTACAGTAGTCTTTCATAATACGCAGAATAAATCTGAAAAACTGTAACAAAAGAACTTGAAAAAGTTAATGATCTTGAGACAATGATAATTGTACATTTGAAACCGTTAACAGTTGAATTCTTTACAAAACACAGTTTCGTAATAGAAACTTTGTCATCTTTACTGAGATGGAAAAAAAACTTTTTTTTTTTGTTGCAGAAGGTCGTGTAGGACCGTCAACAACAGAAACAGATCTCAGAATTTCTACCACAAAAAATACTCATGAAAAAACTGCAAACTGTTATTGTGGGACAAAACGAGAAATTTGGTAATGTTCTTTGAAATTTCTTTTTGTTTGAGTAACCTACCATTGAAGATCATATAGAAAAAAATCCTTCACTTTGTTTTTTTATTTAACAGCTTTTTTTTTCTGTTTTCGTTGCTGTTTTTCTACAGCTTTTAAGGAATAACGTGAATAGTGAGAAGAAAAAACTGCACAGTGACTTTTATACTACAGAGGTACTGTAATTGAAAGAAATCGTTTCTTGTTTGGCAAAGAGTTGCAATTTGTGATATCGTTGCTCAGACTTTATAAAAAAAACCTTCTGATGACGTCAATGTATCCTTCCCTAACTTTTTTGATTTCTTTTTTTTTTTTTTTTTT